GTCCCCGGGGGAGGGTGGGGGTAGTGCGCGAGGTGTGTGGGGCATTGACTCCCCCCGGCTGGATATGGAGAGGGGTCCACTTCCTCTGATTTGCTGAAAGGAGTACGGAGTGCAGCCGACTGGCACACGTGGGGCTCTGGGGGTGCCGTGGGCGGGCGGCCTTGTCGCCGTGCCCACGTGCAAGCGCAGTCACCCCTGGCTTGAAGCATCCCTGGTCCGCTCTGGGAGCGCAGCGCAGGGACCTTCAGCGATTGCCAGACGGAGAACGGGGTGTTGGAGGCGCACCCTGGCCGGTAAGGCGTCCGGGAGGACAACAAAGGGAAGCGTGGACAGACGAAGAGCTTCGCGGTGCCGGGGAGTCGGGGGCCCGAGGTCAGTTTCTCCAAGTCCTCGCCGAGAGCGGCGGCGGATCGGATCGCGGGAGCCCGGGGCGTACCGCTCGGGACCCCTCTCTCACCCGCGACCCCAGTCTACGCCAGCCCGCGCCAGCGGCGGCCAAGTTACTCGGGCACCCCCATCCCCTTCCCCCCGGTGCTGAAGGATTCCTGGAGTCTCCGGGCTTCGCGCGCCCGCCCGCCCGGCCGCGCATCCTTTGTCCAGCAGCCCTGGAGAGGCTCCTGGAGCCGGGGACGCGCGGGCTGGAGGGGGCCCCGGGCCGGCGGAGGGTGGTAGGGAAAGGCGGGGACGATAGGCACCGCCAGCTCGAGTAGCAACAGGTTTTGCCCCGTAGCCCGCTGCAGCTGCTGAAACTCCCTCCTCCTGCCCCGGGGCTTGGAGGACGGTTTTCCCGGGTTCCGGAGACAAGCGGCTGAGCTTGGTTAATTTCAGCAGGTGTGTGTTTGGGATCCTGGAACGTCCCCTCCCGCACCCCAACAGAGACACCCCCACCCCCTCCCCCGGAGACTCAACTGCTGGCTGTTCCTGGGTTGCTTGAGCCGGATGACTCTTTTCGAAAGACTTGAATATAGGCAACTTCCTATTATTAAACGTGTGTGAACTTAGGACTTTGGATCTTCTCCCTCATTTGTGAGCTTCCTCTGTCGGTGGCGGCCGCGGCGGAGCTGAGGCTGTTGCTCTCGGCAGGGGCGGTCCGGACCCTCTGTGGATTGCCAGGTGTGAGTGCGGCCAGGCCCAGTACCTGTAGTCCACCGCCAACTCGCCCACGCCATTCAAAACCCTGCATTGCAGACAGCAATGAGAACCGCTGGGGGGCTGCAAACCACTGCTGTGCTCAGGTCTTCAGCGGGACTAGAGACTTCCTCCTCGTAAAAGCCAGGGCCCTCTTTTCCCTGCTACAGTGCCTTTTAATTTAGTTTTCTTAATGTATCCCATTTTTAAAATGAACTTTCTTATGAGTTCCAGGCTTCCCTGATGGCTCAGCTGGTAAAGAATCCGCCTGCAATGCAGGAGACCCCGCTTTGATTCCTGGGTTGGGAAGATCGGCTGGAGAAGGGATAGGCTACCCACTTCAGTATTCTTGGGCTTCCCTTGTGACGCAGCTCCTAAAGAATCCACCTGCAATGCGGGAGACCTGGGTTCAATCCCTGGGTTGGGAAGATCCCCTGGAGAAGGGAAAGGCTACCCACTCCAGTATTCTGG